GAGGAGCAGGATACGAAGCCTGGGCTTCAGCAATGCCAACTCTGAGTCGCTCAGGGAACAGATGGGCAGGATCCCCTGGGAGAATAACATGAGGGGGAAAGGAGTCCAGGAAAGCTGGCTATATTTTAAAGAATCCTTATTGAGGTTGCAGGAAAAAAACATCCCCGATGTGTAGAAAGAATAGTAAATATGGCAGGCGACCAGCTTGGCTTAACGGTGAAATCCTTGCTGATCTTAAACGCAAAAAAGAAGCTTACAAGAAGTGCAAGATTGGACAAATGACCAGGGAGGAGTATAAAAATATTGCTCAGGCATGCAGGAGTGAAATCGGGAAGGCCAAATCACACTTGGAGTTGCAGCTAGCAAGAGATGTTAAGAGTAACAAGAAGGGTTTCTTCAGGTATGTTAGCAACAAGAAGAAAGTCAAGGAAAGTGTGGGCCCCTTACTGAATGAGGGAGGCAACCTAGTAACAGAGGATGTGGAAAAAGCTAATGTACTCAATGCTTTTGTCCCCTCTGTCTTCACAAACAAGGTCAGCTCCCAGACTGCTGCACTGGGCAGCACAGCATGGGGAGGAGGTGACCAGCCCTCTGTGGAGAAAGAAGTGGTTCGGGACTATTTAGAAAAACTGGACGAGCACAAGTCCCTGGGGCCGGATGCGTTGCATCCGAGGGTGCTAAAGGAGTTGGCGGATGTTATTGCAGAGCCATTGGCCATTATCTTTGAAAACTCATGGCGATTGGGGGAGGTCCCAGATGACTGGAAAAAAGCTAATGTAGTGCCCATTTTTAAAAAAGGGAAGGAGGAGGATCCAGGGAACTACAGGCCAGTCAGCCTCATCTCAGTCCCCGGAAAAATCATGGAGCAGGTCCTCAAGGAATCAATTCTGAAACACTTAGAGGAGAGGAAAGTGATCAGGAACAGTCAGCATGGATTCATCAAGGGCAAGTCATGTCTGACTAACCTAATTGCCTTCTATGAGGAGATAACTGGGTCTGTGGATGAGGGGAAAGCAGTGGATGTGTTGTTCCTTGACTTTAGCAAAGCTTTTGATACAGTCTCCCACAGTATTCTTGCCAGCAAGTTAAAGAAGTATGGGCTGGATGAATGGACTATAAGGTGGATAGAAAGCTGGCTCAACGGGTAGTGATCAACGGCTCCATGTCTAGTTGGCAGCCGGTTTCAAGTGGAGTGCCCCAAGGGTAGGTCCTGGGGCCGTTTTTGTTCAATATCTTCATTAATGATCTGGAGGATGGCGTGGACTGCACTTTCAGCAAGTTTGCAGATGACACTAAACTGGGAGGAGTGGTAGATACGCTGAAGGGTAGGGATAGGATACAGAGGGACCTAGACAAATTAGAGGATTGGGCCAAAAGAAACCTGATGAGGTTCAACAAGGACAAGTGCAGAGTCCTGCACTTAGGACGGAAGAATCCCATTCACTGTTACAGACTAGGGACTGAATGGCTAGGAAGCAGTTCTGTAGAAAAAGACCTAGGGGTTACAGTGGATGAGAAGCTGGATATGAGTCAACAGTGTGCCCTTGTTGCCAAGAAGGCTAACGGCATTTTGGGCTATATAAGTAGGGGCATTGCCAGCAGATCGAGGGACGTGATCATTCCCCTCTATTCGACATTGGTGAGGCCTCATCTGGAGTACTGTGTCCAGTTTTGGGCCCCACACTACAAGAAGGATGTGGAAAAATTGGAAAGAGTCCAGCAGAGGGCAACAAAAATGATTAGGGGGCTGGAGCACATGATTTATGAGGAGAGGCTGAGGGAACTGGGATTATTTAGTCTTCAGAAGAGAAGAATTAGGGGGGATTTGATAGCTGCTTTCAACTACCTGAAAGGGGGTTCCAAAGAGGATGGAGCTAGACTGTTCTCAGTGGTACCAGATGACAGAACAAGGACTAATGGTCTCAAGTTGCAGTGTGGGAGGTTTAGGTTGGATATTAGAAAAAACTTTTTCACTAGGAGGGTGGTAAAGCACTGGAATGGGTTACCTAGGGAGGTGGTGGAATCTCCTTCCTTAGAGGTTTTTAAGGTCAGGCTTGACAAAGCCCTGGCTGGGATGATTTAGTTGGGAATTGGGTTGGACTAGATGACCTCCTGAGGTCCCTCCCAACCCTGATATTCTCTGATGACTCCGTACCTCTTAGGAGGGAGTCCCCAACAATCACTACCACCCATCTCCTCCCCTTGGCAGTGCTGGTCATGGAACCCCCATCCTTAGGACAATGCATCGCATGCCCTCTGGTCAATTGGGGTCTCCTTCTGATCCCTTCCCTCAGATGACTCTTCCAAACCATTCTTCACCATAGTACCTGTGCCGAGAGCCTGAAAACAGTTTCTTATCTCTATCTGCATTGAGGATACATTGGTTCTCCTCTTTCTTCTTCTGGAGGTCACATGCCACCAATTTTCTTCCCCGTTTTGCACTACCCTCTCTGATTGTTCAGTATCTGCAGTACCAAACACTGACTTCTATCCAGAAAGTCTTCATTTTCTCTGATGCAATGCAGGGTTCATGGTTGGGTGTTTAGTCCTTTAACCTTAGAATCATAGATATTGTCCTGTAGCTTTTGTTTGGCGCAGGTATTTATACCAGACATTTGTAAAGCTGCAACTTGTACTCTTGGGAGAATTCTGCACCCCTACGCAATGCAGAATTTTGCAGAAATGAATGTGCATGCAGAATTTCCTTTCTCCCCCAGAAATGGGCTGCAGTTCTTCTGGCCATCACTAGGGGCCACCAGACCTGCCAAACCCAACTCACACATAGAGGACACTGCTGGGGAGAGAAGGAGGGAGCTGCCGTTCCCAGCACTCTCTGAAGGAAGGAGAGGGTAGCGCACAGGAAACTCCGTGCAAGCCTGGGACCCAGGATCAGGCTGTTTCTCTCTCTAGATATCCCTGGGCTCCGAGGGGTAGGAGGACAGGAATCTGGGCAAAGGGAGCCCTGTGGCTGGGCTCTGGGGGGAAAGGGATTGTGGATGTATGGCACCCCGGCTGCGGGGGAGGGAAGAGGGCAGAGAAATAGGAACTGGGTTGTCATAGGGGTTTCTTTAACTCTCTACTGCTGTGGGAATTTTTGTGTGTCTGTATAGTTAGACATATTTGCTGACAGGTATTTTGAAATAATACCTAAATAATTGAAACTGGTGTGATTATGTAGTTTTATTTTGAGTAATAAAATTTGCAGAATTTTAAAGTATTGTGCGTAGAATTTTTAATTTTAGGCACAGAATTCCCCCGGGAATAAACTTGGTCATTGGTACATAACTTTTTACAACTCATTATGCTATATCTTAATATTCCAGAGATGATGCTAAATTTGGATGAGTAATCCTTCCCTCATTGTTCAGGTAGTCTCCAAAATCAGCTCTGGCTTGAATTGCTTGTGAGTCACCTGAAGTGGAATGGACATGTGCAATCTCTTGAAGGAAAAAATGGTTACTCACCTGGTCTGTATCTGTGATTCTTTTGAGATGTTGCACACTCCCATTGCATGACCCACTCTCCTTTCCCTTTATATTGGAGTCTGTCAAGAAGGAAGTAGGAGGGTGTGGGGGCGGGTTTGCCCTCTATGGGATTGTGCAACAGCATAAGGCAGCAGAGCATGCATGCACCTGTCCCTCACCCCAATTGGGTATTGCTAAAGAAAAAATCTCTGACTCTGTGATAAAGAGAAAAGGAATTTGGTAAGGGAGGATTATAAAACTAGGAAAATAAATGAAACTGGCTTCTTGCATAATCCTTGTTAAGAATTTCAAATTTCAGCTGTTGATGCCATGTGTATTCTTTATAATACCCTCAATTTTTAGAATATCATAATAATAGGAAATGAGAAATGGGAGGAAGTAGGGAAAATGTAGGTTTCTCTGTAAATAAGTATCTCCAAGGAAACTATGGTCTATTGTTTGTGTTCATGCTTTACCTTACCTCTGTGAAGGCCGATTTGTCTTTTTGTTGCATAATGTTTCATTAAATGTAATTTCATTTAGATATTTTTGTTCTCTTTTTAGATCGGGGCATATGATCAACAAATATGGGAAAAATCTGTTGAACAAAGAGAAATCAAGGTAATATTTTTTTCTGTTCATAGTGTAGGTTATGGCTAACTTAATCTTAAATTTCTAATTACGTAAGTATGGTGATTTACACTCCTAAAACTCTTATTACAATGAAAAAGTAATGTTCATAATGTTCTGAATTCCAGTGTATAACAATAAGTAGTTTGTATGTTGTTTATCATATATTTCCTAATTACTGAAAAAACGCTAGCAATCTGCAGTTCATGGCAAGAAGTTCAATTTTCTTTGTATGAATTCTAATGTCAGTTGTTTGAGCTGTTTTTTACTTTCAGTTAGTTACTCTATACCACCTTATATCCTCCTTTTTGATGCTGTCATTGTTTTGTACAGTTTATTGGACTGGTAAGTACTTCAGAATGGTTTTGTGTTACTGTGCATAAGCTGCTATGCTTACCTTTTTTCTGCATTTTGGGGTGACTAACAGAATGTCATCAGTATTTGACACTGCCAACTTGTTATGCAAAAATAACAATTGATAGGAGTCTTTTGTTGTAATAGATTATGATTTTCTGGAATTCATGGATAATAAATTATATTACACAATTATAGAAATGAAGTAGTTCTCCTAACAAATGAATTTATTATACCAACTTTTTTTCCCTCAAGTTCTGCATATGGTAAATGTGCTGCTATTTCCTGGGCTGAAAGCCGTTGCTGATTTTAGCAGAAATAATTCTGATAATATATAAATTGCTTAAGATTTCACTGGGTTTTAGTGATTGGATAGTAAAATGAATAGGGGATTTTGATGCACTTTGGGCATGCTTTATTAAGTGGAAATTCAGCTGCATTAACACATCCGAGACTGACCTGGACTGTGTAATTATGTGACCCTGACTTCACTAGAGAACTTTTTTTTTTTTCATTCTACGAAATAATTGCTTTCTGCTGAAATGTTCCTATCTTTATATCTGTTAAATGAGAAGAATGCTTGAAAATTTAAATATATTTTAGAGGTCACATCACTGTACACTAATCGGATAGCAATGCTTCAGTTAAATATTTGCATCATATATATGTTTTAAATTATGAACTAAATGGTTTAGCCATTGAGAGTAAGTATGTAATACTTTATAGCAGTGGCTCTCAACCTTTCCAGACTACTGTACCCCATTCAGGAGTCTGTTTTGAGTACCCCCAAGTTTCACCACACTTAAAAATTACTTGCTTTCAAAATCAGACATAAAAATACAAAAGTGTCACAGCACACTATTACTGAAAAATTGCTTGCTTACTTATTTTTATCAAATAATTATAAAATAAATCAATTGGAATATAAATATTTTACTTTACATTTCAGGGTATAGTATATAGAGCAGTATAAACAAATCATTCTGTATGAAATTTTAGTTTGTACTGACTTCGCTAGTTCTTTTTAAATAGCCTGTTGTAAAACTAGGCAACTATCTAGGTGAGTTGATGTACCCCATGGAAGACCTCTGCATACCCCAGGAGTACACGTACCCCTGGTTTAGAACCACTGCTTTATAGTAGTATGGGGGGAGGGATAGCTCAGTGGTTTGAGCATTGGTCTGCTAAACCCAGGGTTGTGAGTTCAGTCCTTGAGGGGGCCACTTAGGGATCTGGGGCAAAAATCAGTACTTGGTCCTGCTAGTGAAGGCAGGGGGTTGGACTCAATGACCTTTCAGGGTCCCTTCCAGTTCTATGAGATAGGTATACCTCCATATTATATTATTATTATATTATATTATAGCACCTTTCGCATGGTGACTTCTCTTGATTTGGCAACACATAGAAGTGTGTCCATATGTTACAGATATATGGCTCTAAAAACCCTCTTTCAACCAGGGCTCTACAGTTGGTATCACTAGTTGCCCTCAGAAAGGTAACAAAATAATAAAATAATAAAAACTTGTATACAAATGTTTTCTTTCAAGTTTGTCCTCCTGGGTTAAAGTAGGGAGGATGTCTGAGTGTTAGGTCTTCTGGCTCATCAGAAGACCTGTGTCTCATACAGACATTGTCTAATACAGACTAATGTGTGTTCAAATTGTAAAGATTGGTGGAGTGGCGGGACTTCAGAAGCATTCAACACAATAACTATCTATAATCTCAAATCCGAACATTGGGCACAGTACTTATTAATTGAAGTGTTATTTCAGTGAAAACCAACAATAATTACCTCTGCAGTAGCATAACAAGCATATACATAAGAAATTGAAATAATCTGTTTCATATGCATTATGTTCTTTTGAAAACATGCTACATGCCTATCAGAGATAGCTCTTGGTTGGGCAGTCCTATTTTACAATAATTAAGCAATTATACATGAGTGGTTAAATTAATGCTGTTCACTATCACATTTATATTGTGAGTTTAGTATAGTTGCACTTCAAGTAAGTAGTGAATCACGGTTTTGGAAGGAACGTGCTTTTATTACAATAGGCAGCTGGGGCTTTACACAGCATCAGTCCTACTCTACTGCACTGTTGTATTGCTGTTATAAAAACTTGCGTAAACATACAAATTCCATAATTTATGTATCTTGAAAATTTTCATGATTGATCAATTATTTCTCAGGTTTCCATGTTAAAAATAAGTTCTAGGTTACAGTAAATGTTAACTAAAAATGTGCAACTAAGTTCTTTATAGTATGCATTTGCATTCTTGCTTAATTCTGTTCACACTCTTTTTTTCTTTTCTGTTGCATTTTATTTCTAAAGATAAAACCTTATGAAAAGAAATGTAAGGCCACGGCTTTCCGAAATAACTAGTAGTTTTGGATGCTTTGATTTTTGGGTACCAACTTGAGACTTCTTAAAGGGTCCTGATTTTCTGAGGTCTAGCACAAGCACTTTTTGAAAATTTGGCTCCATTACAGTTTGGGCATCTACTATCACTAGTCAGTTTTTAATATATTGGGCTAAAATACTGCATAAACTTGATACATGCATTCTTTTGGGGTGTTTTACCTACTCGGTACATATTTTTATACAGTTTGACTGAAATAGAGATAATATTCTAAATGAACAAATAACACAAAACATACCAGCTTTGAAGTTTCTAAAGAGTAAACATACATTATAACCGCTTGCAGATAGATTCTGAAAGGAACAAGGACCAAGATTTTAAAAAATGATTTAGTAATTTTATGTGCCTCAGTTTTTTGTGTGATCAATCTGAAACACCCTAAAATGGCCCGATTTTCAGAAAGTGATGAGCACTCAAGCTTTAGAAAATCTGGCTCCTTTAATGTGTCTCATATTGAGCCCCCAAAACTGAGGCACCCAAAATGACCTAGTCACTTTCTGGAAACTTGGCCAGGCTAAATGTGGTGTCATAGAATATCAGGGTTGGAAGGGACCTCAGGAGGTCATCTAGTCCAACCCCCTGCTCAAAGCAGAACCAATCCCCAACTAAATCATCCCAGCCAGGGCTTTGTCAATCCTGACCACCACCTCCCTAGGTAACCCATTCCAGTGCTTCACCAGCCTCCTAGTGAAAAAGTTTTTCCTAATATCCAACCTAAACTTCCCCCATGCAACTTGAGACCATTACTCCTTGTTCTGTCATGTGGTACCACTGAGAACAGTCTAGATCCATCCTCTTTGGAACTCCCTTTCAGGTAGTTGAAAGCAGCTATCAAATCTCCAGATGAGGCCTCACCAATGTCGAATAGAGGGGAATGATCACGTCCCTTGATCTGCTGGCAATGCCCCTACTTATACAGCCCAAAATGCTGTTAACCTTCTTGGCAACGAGGGCACACTGTTGACTCATATCCAGCTTCTCGTCCACTGTAACCCCTAGGTCCTTTTCTGCAGAACTGCTGCCTAGCCATTCGGTCCATAGTCTGTATCGGTGCATGGGATTCTTCTGTCCTAAGTGCAGGACTCTGCACTTGTTCTTGTTGAACCTCATAAGATTTCTTTTGGCCCAGTCCTCTAATGTCATGGCTAGGTATTCACTAATGTTAGTTTCCACGTGAATGTTGCCAAGTATTTTATTTCTCTCATATTTGAGCTGTTGCATTTTGTCTTTTTCAATATAACAAGTTCTAACTCTGTGCTATTAAAAATATTAATTAAAATGTATTTGCAACGTTAATGGGATTACACAGGCTTATTTGGCAGCTAGGAATCTGCTCTGCCTATCAGTGTGGAACCCCTCCTTCCTGCAACAACCTACGTTCTCAAGATTTCCTTTAGGGCTGACATCAGTGCTCATCCCAATGCCGGCATCGATACTGGCCTCAGTACCCTCAACTCTCACAGTGCTGCATAAACTTTCTAGATTGCCTGGTGCCCTTACCAGCACTGCATCGCCTCTGCCTAAAGAATACTCCTATTCTTCTGACTCCAGAGCAGTGAGAGGCTTCTCTGGGTAGATTGCAAAGGTCAAGATCTTTGCCTTCTTCAGCTCGGGAAAGGCACTTTCCTCATTATTAGGTCCTTTTTTAGCCCAAGTCACAGACCGGTACCTCATTGTGCTAGGTGTCGTACGAACATAGAACAGAAAGATAAGATCCTGGGTCAGGGACCATAATCTGAGTAAGATGAGACAACAGATGGATGGACAGATGGGAGAGTACCAAATAAACAATGAGACAATATTTGTTCAGTCATAGCTAGTAGTCTCAGCACACTAGCAGCCTAACCATTGAAGAGGGATTTGAAGGTGGATAAATGAGGTAGCTTTACGTATATTTACAGAGAGTGTCCTCCAAGTGTGCAGGACAGGATGGGAGAAAGCATGAAGATATTTGTTAGAAATTTTAACAAATGCGCAGTGGAGGGTGGCTTTGTTGGCCAATTAGAGGAGAGAATTGACAGCTTGATAACTAACAAGATGATAGGTCGGGTGAGGATTGACTGTGAAGGGCCTTGAAAGTGAATACGTGCACATTGTTTTTGATAGGGAAGTGAAGAGACAGTGGAGGGGTTCAAAGAGAAGGGTGGCATGGGCAAAGTCACAGTCTCTGAAAATGATCTTTCTGGCAGCATTCTGAATGGATGTGAGTGGAGCAA